AGATTTACGTTTTCATTCCTGAACACTGTATGTTTAAGAAAAACAAAATTTTCGTTAATATAAAATATATTTAAACATTTATGCTCATATGCTAACAGTATGGCGGACAAATAACTTTATTTTGTCATACATGTGCAAGGCATATTTCTACATATATAGAAGTCAATACTTTATTAAGTAGTAAATGCTTGAAATTAAGTCTGGTATTATTCAGTTTTCACTTCTGATGTGATAACATGTCTAGCGTATTCGTACATTCCATTAAAGTTCCAAGACTTTACAAAACTGCTGCCAAAATCGTTCGAGAAGTTCGTGAGAATGGTGGCAGTCTGAAATCGTTGCTTTACAAACAAAAACATCCTGTAAGTTGATATTTATAATCTAAAAAAACACAGCAAATGTTTAAACAATGCAATAAATCCAGTGTTTTGTATAGTCTTATCATTTTGTATAACGAATTCGGCATATAATAATCACATGGTTTTTGAAATTGGTTATAATCATTGCATTCCTTTCGTTTTTTTATTAAATGATACAGAATGTGTCCGCGATATTCGCTTTGTGCTTCAATACATTACAAAAAGAAGTGCAATTGGATCATCTTATAGATAAAACTAATCTATTGAAGAATGAGCCTCGTTTGGACGTATGGTTAGCGAAAGTTCTCATAACGGAATTACTGTGGGGTAAAAAAGCTCTGGAAAGTTATTGTAAACCTATTAAGACTATACTTTCATATGAAAAATGTTTGAGGAAGGAATTGAACAATATTGATAAAGAAACACTTCAGACATTCAATAAAACAGGTAAAAAATATAGAATTTACTTATCAATAAATTCGTATTATTTTTACAGAAATGAACCATTCATGTACAGGAAAATTAATAGCCACATCCAACCTCAATTTCGAGATATATTAAGTCAGTTTCATTATAAAGGAATCGTGCATCTGGATTGATGGTTTTAATCATCCGCAACAACCGAATACTTACTAGCCGGCATCCTAGAGTTAAAAAGTTTCTATCTTATATGAATAAAAATCAACAAAAATTGAATCACAAAGAGATTTCCAGTGATCAGAATAAAGAAACATTAGATATGAGTTTTGTAGCAGTATTGGGGAAATTGTTCATATATAGCATTGCTATGTTTACATTACCATTTGGTGTATTTTATGGGGTACAGCACATTATGAAGGCTGAATTTCATGTAGATAGATTTGTAATAAATTGTGTTTCTGTATTTGCTGCTGTGATTACAGTAAATGTAATAATAGCTTGTTATGTTTATCAGGCACTCCATGAGCCTGATAATGTTGCTGAGATTAAAGCAATTGCAGATCAGCCTTCTAAAGATAGTCTTAATGAAAAAATTGATTAAATATAATTTTTTAATGTGACAAAGAAATTGTATTTATACTGCATATATACATTTTTTTTTTCAATATGTACATACACACACACACACACACACACACACACACACACACACACACACACACATATATATATATATGTATTGAAAATGTTAATAACATATTGACATTTGTATTAAGTATACATATAGTAAATGTAATTTATATATTTCTATATTTTTTTATTATTATCATTACTATCATGATAATACCAGTATTAAATATAATGATTCAATATGTAATTAAGAATAAATAGTTCAGTCAAAAAGCACGAGTTTTACTTTATATCCAATATAAAATCGAGTACCTTTACATGCTTGCTAAAGCACAATCTAATTTTTTCAGTAAAAAAAGCACGATATACTCGCATCAACACTCTGTTGTTGCAATTAAAAGACGGAATATCTTATTTCCAAGAAGAAGGATGGATTCTTTTGCCAAGATGCTCGAGTTACGAGAGGCATTTAAGTGTTGTAAAAAGTTTAAAAAAACCAAATTATATCCAGGATTTCCATATTCCAGAACTATTCGTTTTCCCAGCTGACACAAGTTTCTATGACTATTCTGGGTATCAAAATGGGGAAATCATTTTACAAGACAAGGTAATTGTTTATTTGACCAAAAAAAAAACCACCAATGTTTTAACTATTTATTTAGTTCTATCTTATTATTATTTCAGGCTAGCTGTCTTCCTTCATTTTTATTAAATCCAAAACCTGGATCTGTGGTACTTGATATGTGTGCAGCTCCAGGAATGAAGTTAAGCCATTTAGCTGCAATAATGAAAAACTCAGGGTACTTTATAGACTGATCTCTATGTCTTATTTTCAAATAAAACTAATTTAACCTCAATTAATTCAATATTTGTAGAAAAGTGTACGCTGCAGAGATTGACCAACAGAGGTTCTCGACTTTATGCAAACATGTCGAAGTAATAGGCGCCACGTGCGTTGAGACCATTAATAAGGACGCGTTGACTCTCAGGGCAAACGAGTTTCCTGATATAGAATACATCTTAGTCGATCCATCATGCTCTGGTTCAGGTATAGTAATTTACAGTTGTATAAAATTAATTAAATCTCAAAATCTTCAGCAAATTTGTTGTCACAGGCATGCTGGACAGAAAACTAGTACCTAACGAGCAAAAATGTGCTCCAAATCGTCTCAAACAACTACAATCCTTCCAAGTTTTCCTTCTCCGACACGCGCTGTTAAATTTCCCAAAGGTAAAGAAGGTTGTCTACAGCACTTGCTCTATCTATCCTGAGGAAAACGAACAAGTAGTGGATGAAGTTCTTGAGAACGTACAGAACGCGTACAAACTCGTACCCGTCAGGGAATTATTGAAAGAAGAGTGGCTGAACTTCAGTTCAAAGACGTACAACTGTTCAGATAAGTGCCTGTATGCAATTTCCGATGTGGATTTGTGCAATGGTTTTTTCGTCGCGGTGTTTGAACGAAACTTCGACGTAAGCTTGCCTAAGTTCAACAAAATCGGAAGTGCCACGGTAAAAAAGGAACAGAAAGAAGAAGAAACGAAGAAAAATGAAAAATCCAATGGGAAGATGAATATTACACGTAAACGGAAGAAATGCGGCAATGGTAAGCAAGCAATTAAAAATGGAAAAGTTTCTTCCAAAAGTAAGGGCAACAATAAGGCTGTTCAAAAAAATAACGGTAAGCCTGCATTAAAAAGGAAAAAGATGTAAACGGAAAAAGAAAAGGAAAAATAAATATATGTATAACGACTAATTAAAAAAGAAAGCCAATTGATATACGATGTTCCTTTCTTTTCCCTTATTTCATTATTTGTCCATGCGATACTTTCTCAGTTATTTTTACCGTCATTTTCGATAAGATCGACGCCTTTTTACCGGTGCTGGTGTCATGCAACTTCTGATCACGACACGAAATTCCCTGACACGCACTAAGACTCAACAGAGTTGTGTCCTTCGAGTCGAATATTATTTCACGTACTGTCCGAAAAAAAAAAAAAAAAAAAATAAAGTAATTAACATAAATGTAACCATGAAATTATATTTCGTTAAATGTCAAGCTTTATAATTAATTTCCTTTTTCAATTTTTTATTCTTTTTTTTGTAGATAGATTAGGATGTTTTACGAAGAAGCACAATAACCTAAGTAATTACTTAATAAATTAGCAACAGCGATTACGATGTATTCGTGCTCACGCTTAATTTAATATCATTATTTTCTACATGGCCCAAATACACGAGAATAGTCCAGTTCTAAATAAGAAACTCGCTGAAATAGTATTGCAAATCTTAGCCTCGAGGATACCGTTAAAACGCTCCCTGATAATCCTTATGATGTACATGATGTTTCCTCGATGAACGATGAAAAATACCCTTTTGCCACGTACCACCCCTTATCTTGCCGTTTCTTGGAACGAAATGCATTCCATATGAACGCTTTTACGTCCTGTCGCGTTCACCTACAAGGTCTCTGGATATCATTCGATAAGGATCTCTCATATAACCTCCTTATGAATCGCGGTAATATTCAGTGATAACGCGATAATGGTAATTACGTATGTACAACAGAACCATACAGATGCATCATTAATCCTCTGTATGATAGCAGCTTAATCTACGTACCTTCAATTGTCCTTGAAATAGAAATATCATTCTGTGACATTTTCTTCAATGAGCGTAAAATACTACAGCGATAAATACGCTTAAACTTAGATCGAGGTTTTTTGATCACAGCGGTTCGGTATTGTTTATTGGAGCTGGTAATCTATGGATTGTTGCAAGGCACGAAGGAACATGAGCAACTCTGGTTAATGTACCACAACAGACGTATATCGTGAAAGCAAGGAAGACAGCGATGGTAGCAGGATAAGTGGAGGCCACTCAACCGTGGGGTAAACGCGTGCAGCACGGTGGTGGCACAGTGCAAAGACGATATCACTTTAATGATTGCTTCACTCCAAGTCTCGAGTCGTGCTTATAAATGTGTACACTTATTACTTGTACCCTTTGTGAAGTTAACTACTCAGCTTTCTGGTACAATCATTAATAACAAAGCAAAATCCATTAATAAGAAAACTTAGTATTTTCTTCTACTTAACCTAAAAGTGTAAAAGATTTGTAAAAAAATTTCGGTTAGTAAATAAAATTCTTTAGAGAAAGATATTTGTAAAAAAGAAAAAAATGGAAACTAACTTAGAAAAATACTAAAAGAATTCGAAAAAAAAACGTCCTTTATTTTCCTTTACGTTTGTCTAATAAAGAGCACCGAGTAAATTCAACTTCTGAGACACGCACTTTCGTGACATTTATGGGGAAACGTCGGATATCGTTCGAAGCTTTTTTATCTCGATCTAGAGCACGCTTTTCTTTACCACGGTTTCTGAAACTGTAAAGGAGAGAAAAAGAAGGTGGTGATTAGGAACTAGCTTTCGGCCAATGGCCCTTCTAGTTTTATTGTAAAGTCGATACTGTATTGTGGAGGCACGGTTTCCACCTGCTTCCGGAAAAGTTTCTCTTGATATCGCGTGAAATCAACGGAACGCGTTTCTGTATCCCTACGATCTATAAAAACTTTGCTACTTTTTCTGACGGTTCGCGCCCCTTAACTCGGGAATCGGTACTTCCGTAACGTGAAACACGCTGACCCGTTTAGAATCGAGTGGACTTTTGTTAAATTTCAAGCATGATAGCAAAGGAGGATCGTGCTCAATTCGGAAATGTCAATAAATGTGAAAAATAACAAACGATGAAATTAAAGAAAGTCATGTTATACAGTACGGAATATTGGCAACATAGGGCACTTTGAATTTCATGTTGGTTACGTGTTTTTTCGCTCTATTTTCTGATTACAAAATAAATTAGTGGATCGAAACAAGCGTTTAACGAAGTTCAAATGGCAGTTGCGAGAGCTGGGATTCGGTATTCGCCGAATCTTGCTGATTCACGCTTACCGTGATATATGAGCCGCTCGGCCGCTCGATTACTTAAGTGGTCGAGGAACGAATCTGGTCAGCCGCCTTCCGCGGCAAACACGCAAACCCCACCAAAGTATCGACTATTCGCCACAACAAAGAGGGAATATTATAAAGATGACCACTGGAATATAACAAATCTTTGTAATTCAATACTATCTACGAGAACTAATAAAGAATCGTATCTCAAAAAGTATACCACGGTATTAATATTTCCTAATCTAAAGTATTTAACTGATTTTTCTAAAAATGTTGCACACCTAGTCAAGTGTAATTCCGTCAGTCTACAATCAGCCAAATATCACAGAATCCCCCTGATTAATACTTAGGACTTTCCGGAGCCTAAAGAATACGTGAAATATCGCAATTGCAAATTTTTATGCAAAGTGTGCGACGTCCATATTATCGCCCCGTTCCGCTCGACCTTCGCGACGGCCGCCGCCTGTATCTACTACTCATATCGTGCATTCTGCAATTCTTAAGCTTCATGCGGCTAATCATCCTAGTCGCTAGCCGATAAGGCCGGCGCGGTGTTTCCAGTTCGAAGAAATGCAAACCGTTGTTGTGAGGATTGTTAAAAAAAGATATTGAGCACGGAGGTAAAAGTGGAGTATGTTGAACAGTTCTGTAGCTAATTTCTGCCAGAGCTTCTCAGGACTTCAATTATCCGGCTATCTGCTGATCTATCCTAACCATAAAACGATTCTACTTGATCCTATTACTATGGACATTTTCTCCCCTATCACTTTTACGCCTCGAATAGGTTTAATTATTCCACATCTGACGTTTTATTTCGCGCGGCTAATTATCGAGCTTCCACTTGACAGAACGTTCAACACCGTTATTACAGAAAAGTCAATTCGTCTGGCGTTACATGACTGAAACGTTTCTCGATGAGGTTATAATTATCGCGAGACGCTGGACATCGTGTATGGAAACGCGAAATCCTGAAATGCGAGGCAACTGGATTCATTCTCAGATATCGTAATCTTCTGTACGCAAAAAGATCATGGTGGATGTAGATTGTCCCTTTTTAACGCAATGCTTTCTGTTTTGTGAGGTTATAATTATCGCGAGACGCTGGACATCGTGTATGGAAACGCGAAATCCTGAAATGCGAAGCAACTGGATTCATTCTCAGATATCGTAATCTTCTGTACGCAAAAAGATCATGGTGGATGTAGATTGCCCCTTTTTAACGCAATGCTTTCTGTTTAGCGACGTGTTGCGAAATGTCACGAATCTTTTCAATCGAGCTGATTATAAATTCACCCTTTGAGCGGTCTGCTTGGTCGCCATGTTGCACGAAACGCCTTCAAGTTCAATTCTACGGCCTGTCGTTATGAGGGTGTGTCTACAATATCTATAAAAATCTTGCGGTAATGATAAATAGAAACTTGTTCAATTAATACAAATATTAATATAAATATCCTTGTTTTAAGCCTCCTTTATTCTCTCTAAAAAATGATTTAACAATGGATTTATTTTAAATCATTTTGATATTTCAATATGCATCAAAATGAATCAATAAAGAAATTCATTTAGAATTATCAATTTTCCAAACTAAAAAGTTGACTATCTCAAAATAAATATTCTTATCAAAACTCTTTTGTCCCTTTTACGTCTATCAACTGCTTAAATATTTCAGCCCATATATAAGACTTGATGATAACACTTGGTATCATTTAACAGCCCTTAAATTTCCATGAATCGTCGGTGAATTTTCATTTACAATGTCCCCATCGATTACAAGGAGGCAGCGTACGATCAAAACGGAAGAGCTTCCTGGCCGCGGTGCAACAAGTTCGGTGCTCGTTTCGTCAGCGTCGGTTCACTGACACTGGGCGTCGATGCTGGAGGAGAACGGCGACGTGGACGACGACGGCGGCGCCGAGGTAGCGTGGTTCGTGGCTGTCCCTCGGAGCGACACACTCGACGTCGGGACGCCATCGTCGAAGGACGCATGAATATGTATACCATCGCGGCTACACGGTGTTATCTCGCGTCCAAATGATTCCTGGTGTTGATGTACTGTCATATACTTAACAACGGTGTTACTCTGCTTCTTCGCCTATGTTCCGTATTTGTCATTTTATTATCTCATGTAAAAATTCGGTGATTATAATTCTGAAAATTACAGTGTGAAATTTTTTAGTTAATTTGCAAAAATTGTGACGGGTGGTGATTACACTGTACTTGAGGGATGAAGTGAAAGAAATCGATGTTGGTGAACTTCCGGTGTGCGTAGGAATGAATGGACGGGCGTAGGAATAGCCGCACCCCCCGCTGGGCCACGGTGGACTCCGACGGTGCATCTACCGGCATAAATAAATCGATTTATGCTAATTTTCGCGAACACTGTGCGTTGTAATATTTGGAATTTTAATATTGATTCTGTGTGAGAGGAACTCTTGCAATTTTCTAACCTTTCGTATTAAATTAAATTTTTTTTAGTTAATTCTATTTGTAGCAAAAGAAAGCTTCAAGTGTGAGGAGTAAAATTGTACCTAACACACAGTCATCGTGCAAAGTTCGTGACCTTAACTCGTCCAGGAGTATCCTAGGTTAACGCAACGTAATTGCACAACATTAATCTTAAACCTTGTGGCAAGAAACCATTCGAGTCTTCTTGAAGATTCCTCAGAAACAGAGATTTCTTTTGGATTCGTACAATTGAGCAAGATGAAGGTGGACGATCGATTGATCTGCAGTGAACTGCAGCTATAAAATAAAAGTGCATCGTAAGGCGAGGAGAGATCGATCGGGAATCCCCGGCAAATCACGCGACACGTGGACGTTCCGCTGGTGTATAGAGAATTTTTTTCCCTTTTTTCTTATCGTCGCTTCTCCACGAAGGTACATGTGAAAAAACAGAGCCTTGAATCCTCGCGAAGGAGTGAAAAAAAAATCCGACGATCCATCAATTTTGACAGGCAATTTCACGGAAAGGAACACGAATTCTGCGGAGGAGGACGCCAGCTGGAATCAGTCGCTCGCCGAGGTACGCAGCAGTAACAACTCTCTTCATTTAGTTCTTGTTTGTTCGGAAAACTTAATGTATATACTTCCAGAAAGTTTCAGTTTGTAAAACTTGTGATGATGTTAGTGAGATATATAAATAGTTAACTTGGAACATTCATGTATTAGCGTTTTTAAAAATCTGTGTCTAATTTTTAGTAATATCGAGAAAGAAGGTTCTATTTCTCTGAATCGTTAAAATTCAATTTCCCATAAAAAATGTTTCAATAATATTAAAAACAACCTTTTTCTGGGGGGGTTCCTAAAACCTTCTTTCCTACAGAAGACAGGACATGTCTAAGAAGTTTCTATTCTCCTCTGGGATCTCAATTTCAGTGCTCCCCAAAGTTCAATTTCCCATTAATGAAAACAGAGAAAACAGAGAACCCTTATTAATTTTTTCCATTCCTTTTCACAGGACTCAGTTGATTCCGGCACGGCGAGGTCCGCCGGAAGCCAGGGAAGAGAAAGCTAGAGTAGGCGAACGGCGGCGGCCTTGTGCCGATGATCGCCGCTGAAAATCAGTCGAGTTTGCGTGCCGGCTCCAGGCTGGGGCAGTTCGTGGAGCAAGCGGACGACGGAAGTGTGGGTGGCGGCAACGAGGCTGGTGGAGCCGGTGCAACCACTACCTCGGAGCTAGGTGAGAGAGTTAATTATCCAAACAGATTCTGATCATTCGAGCATATGTGTTCCGGGAACGAACCGGCTTAGATCTTCCATGAGATATATTAGCGGTAAAAGGCAGTGTTCCTGTGCTACGTAATAATCCATCGTCCGTGTCCCTGATTTCAGCTATTAACCGATATCTCGAAGATATTTTATTTGGCCTGGTAAAATTTAAAAGGCATAAAGCTTTAACTCTTTCATTCTCATAAATTATGGCTTGATAATAAAAAATAATTATAATTTCACTTCTATACTGTTATTTTTGTAGCTTAATTAAAATTCTATGTTTCATTTCATTGGTTTGTTAGTTAAATTGCTTCTTTAAAAATCCTCAGCATACAAATACGATTGATGTTTTATTTTATATATTTTCTTTCCTTTATTGTATTATTAGTATTATTTTTTCTTTTCTTTCTTGACATTATCGTTATTGCTTTTTGAATTTATATTACATTACTGCTGTTCTCCTTATTTGAATTTTTTTTTCAATTCATTGGTTCCTTTTTCAACCTTTTATTTCTCTTCACAATGGGTTTATACTCGTAAATAAATAAATGTTGCAGTTAACGAAGCTTTAAGTTTTTGTCAGATGGCATAAAAAGTAGTTATAATACTAACGACAGATTGTAGGTAGATTGAGAGAAATGTTTCACGTCTGTTTTATAATATCTACATATGTATACATTTTTATTAGATCCCATAAAGAATAATATTTCACCCTTATTTCATAATTTTCACAGCTTAACTTTATCGTTAACGAGGCACCTATAGTTTCTCAGAAGTCTAACTTTTTATATCAGATGGCATAACAAGTAGGATTTAAGAAGCAAAGGTTGAAGTACAAGTTCGACTGGGGTCGTCGAATGGTCTCTATGTAGGTGAGACTGGTTAGCACCCTAAGCGTTCATGCTATAACTCGTGCGGCGCCAACCTTCCAAATGTTCCCTTGATATCTATAGGGGAGACTCCACTTTGATTCTTAAGCATTCCACTGTTCCTTATAATTATCTTCTCCATTTATATTCCTCAATTTTTTGAACCTCAAACATTCTTGAACATGTACCTAAAATTTGCTTAGATAAAAAAAAAAAATCTCATCCTTCACACTAATTCTTCCTGTTTGAAAAGGTGTAATGAAGAAGGAGGAGCAGGAGGCGACGAAGAACGATAGCTCCCCTAAAGAGGTGAACAATTCAACGGTCACAGTAACTACACCTAGCGGCGTCGCGACGACGACGGCGTCCATTGCGAACGGTACAGCGACGACAGCGACGATGCCAGGTGGAGGCGCTCGCAGCGACGAGGAGGAGGACGATGAGGAGGAGGAGGCTGAGGAGGAAGAGGAGGAAGATGTGGAGGAAGAGGAGGACGTGGAAGTGGAGGGTGGAGCGGCGCAGGAGGCGGTCGGTGGCGGTCTGCTGGCGAGTGAGGGTGGGGGTGGAGGCGGCATGGCCGGCTTCTGGAGGCAGAGTAGACCCTCCAGTCCCCGCATGCCGCCTCCGGAGCAGCTGGAGCACAGGCCTAAGAGCCGACACGAGCCGGCGCCCGCGAGATACAACAACCTCGGCTATTGGAGGGCGAGACGAGTGACATTTTACAAAAATGGCGACCCGTATTTTCCTGGTATCGAGTTCAGGTAAGCGAAAATCTAGTCCATTAATCTAGTAGATTCTCTTCCTCGTCGTGTGCTAACTCTAGTACCCTCAACGGGTGCAGGTGGCGTGTCCACCAGCTTAGTGGCCTTGATTTTGGCCCATGAATGAGATTCCCCCTGTGACACACAAAAGATAGCTGTTACTCGAATGATTCACTCGCCTTACGATGTTTCTTAATGTTAAGTAATATGAGATATAATGCTGTACTTGTTTGTTAAGAGGTTTCTGATGAATGGACGTCGATGCAAGATTTAGTTGTTCAAATTTGATTGATGATTTACAGGTTCAAGCCAGGAAGGGACATCGGTTCCCTGGAGGCCCTCCTGGACAGACTATCACTGCGAATGGACTTGCCCAGAGGTGCGAGACACATCTTCTCCATGGATGGGGACCGGAAGCTTACTCTGGACGAGCTGGAGGACGGCGCGTCGTACGTGGTATCGAGCTACAAAACGTTCAAGGTGAGTTTAAAAAAAAAAACTAGCTCTATTTATAATCCCTTCTTCGTATAATATCGCCCAGATAGAAATCTTGGAAAGCACGAATCGTTAGTACTGCAATTAGGAGTGCTTGAAAGAGAAGTCGTTGGTGAAAAATATTGCTTTCCGATCAGAGTGTCGTACCGCGAGACGTTTTTAAGATGTTTTGAAAGAGGGTGAAAAAAAGCGTCTTAATCGTAGCACTGACGCGGTAAAGTGGGTCATTCGATCTGATACATTCTGCACGAAGAAGAAATAAGGTCCTTAAGACACAGGATCGCGTGTATGTGTAGATCAAATCTCTGTTCAGGTGAAACAGCCCCCGCCGGCTCAGAACCGATCTCATTACGACAGCGATAATTCAGCACGTGCAAGGACTTGCGCACGACGAAAAGTAAATATCCTCTTTCTCTCTTTTTCTTTCTCTCTGCTAGAGTAGCAGTGTGTATCGTTTCGTATAATTAAAGCGAACTAGGGGGTTCTGCCTGTGCACACATGCTTAATATTCATGAGCCTTCCGCTTCGAGAAGGTGGACGGTGACTTCCACGAATGCGTGGAACAGGACACGCGTGTACAATGAACACAGCCGCACTTACACGGTGCATATGCACGTATCGATGGAGCATTTAAGAGGCCGCGATACGACGATTTATAAGAAAGCTGCGTATACCAACGTCGACAATCTCTGTGTATCTGGCCCAGATCAGCCTTTAAGCAGGCCGCACGCAACGCCAATCTGCCTAGTTACCTAAAAAGAACGACCGTCGCGGAGATTATTGCTCTGTAACAGTTTCTGCTGGGATACAGGAAACTTATGATGATTGATTTGACTTTTAGAGGTGTTACGATAACTAGAAGAGTGAATTCTCACGATATTTGCTGTGACTTTTTGAACACTGGAACACTTGAAGACTAATTTCACTCTTGTATCTAATACAATCATTGTGAAGCTAAGCTGTTACATTAATTAGAGTGTTTTTTTTTTTATGCATGAAAACTCTTAACGACCAGTTTCACTCTAAAACTTTATTGCAACATCTACTAACTACTGATTAAACTGACTACTACATTTTCCAAACGTCAACTTTACTCTTTTCACCTGTTATACGATGATTACTAGGTCAAATTCTCATGTTGATCCTTATCGGTTCTCAAGCATATCGTAAAGTCAATCGAGAATGATCCTGCTGGTCGAAGGGATTGGTAGCGAATTAAACGACGAAACCTTTCAGCAGATTTCGCCTGGAAGGCCACCGTGGGTGTTCATTATTTTGATGAAGCCGCCGATAGAGGAAGAATTGGATTCGTTGCGTCATGGCATGTGAAGGGTGGCCCACGCCCAACCTGATTTCTAGGTTTTAAGGTGTGACCGGGTGGCTCGTTATGCCGTATACCGTATCGTCGCCGTTTCTGCCTTCCTGCCTGGCTTGTGTACAATCCTGGCATGTTTCGATCGACGCCAGCCTCGTGTCGGGTCAACCCTTAATCCGGCAAAGTGGCTGAAGCTTATGCACGATCCTATCGTTACTCTGACGGGCCTTGCATGCCGATTGCCTTATAGAATCGGTTCACACACACCCCTGATTTATATACTATATTCCTTGCGAGGCGATACACTGGCTAAAGATTCACCTTGACCCATTCCTTGGAATGTACAATCGATATTAACCGCTGTATGATTCATACCGTTCATACTGGTCATCCTGAAATCAGAGGAAAATATTGTAATTATAATAGGAAGACTTTTTCTTTCCATGAGAGAAAAAGGTGGAACTTTTCAATCGTGTCTTGGATAATTCGAGCGTTGTTTACCAAAGCCACGTGGCAAGGGAGATCGACGTCTCGAGTAGGTGAATCCTTGGTTAGGTGGTAGGGATGGGAGCGTGTCACGGTGTGGAGAAGTGGGGCTGAGTATCGTCACAGGGTTGGCTGGCACGAGGGGCGAAAAGGGCTGGCCGATTAGGCTCTGCGGTTGCGCACCACACTTCCCATCTCACTGTTTTCGATTCTTCCGTTCTCTTGATCCCGTTCAAATGGTACCTCGCCATTCTATTTCGACATAATGCCCCATTACTGTGCTCCACACCGGAGTTCACATATTTTTCCTACCACCACCACCTCTTCTATATACCAGTCATTAATCCATCCTCTCCACGTCGCGATAATAACGATTGTGCTTTTAAACGGATCCTAGTTTCTTCACCTCGATGACCTGAATTTCTTGATGGCGCCTCGCCATTAAAAAACTTATCCCCATGATCTTGGGCGGAGAAGTGGGTCGGATATTCGATCGTTTGCCTGCTTAATTCGCTTCCTTTACGTGTATTTTTCGTTGAATAATCGTTTACTCGAAATTGTAGAATTCCATTCGCTCAATAATCGTTTGATCACTCACAGTGGAATTTTTGTACAATTTGATCGACACAGAGCGTAGAGATTTAGAATGTTCCTGGTTTTTTTTTAACGGTAGCGAAGCTTCTCAGAGTACGCATGAATCACGTTGTAACGCGGAGGGTCAGCGACGGGTGAGAGGGTTGGTTCGTACTTCCGTTAAGGAGACCGATGCAGGGCTCTCAAGTCGTAGGGCAGCCAGTAAGGGAGAGACCGTATCTCATTGACCGTTGGTCAGCCCCGCAAGGGATCAATAAACACAACGTTCTCCATATAGACGATTTAGAAACCGCGTTTCCACTATTCTACCATCTGGAACTTCAATTGGATCATTCGTACATTCAAATCTTCCTCTTCTTTCTTAAAAATACAGTCAGAACGTTAGACAGTATGTAATACGATATGATAAAGATAACGTGTCGCATTAGACGATTTACGGTTGCACTCGATGGTGTAATGAAGCAGTGACGCACGTAAGGGACCGATAACACGATGAAAAATTAATGTTACGGGGTAACGGAAGCGGCGAGGAACCGGTGGAAGATATAGCGCCGATTACAGCCGACTGTGAGTTGACACAATCAATTATGTTCTGGCCGTCTCTCGCAACGGCGTTACTACTGCGGTCGGAAGTAACAGTTTATTACTACTGCAAGACCCTCGGGTCTCCGGCAAACGTACGTAATACACACGTGCGCGCGACACGTTTATCGAATACATCCATGCTCGGTTAAATTTGACTAAGTTCGAGACCGGGAATTCAAATTTAACCGAGCAGAGTAGCGTCTTGGTTCCAGAAATTCATTCTCGAACAGTTCAACAGGGAAAGTGACTAGAGTGAGGGAAATGCGGCACACGAAAAGGATACCGCGTATGTTGCAAGAAATCATTTAACATAAAATACTTCAATTTTTATAATTGTAGCGGTATCTTTACGGAAATGGTACTAATGAACTGGTGAGATTCTGCTGATGAAAATGAGCCCAAACACGGCATAAATCGAACTGGTTTTAGTAGCATTCAATTTAAATATACTGTCTAGCGATATGAAATGTACCATAATTTTTAAGAGTGCTTTTCAACCTAGTCCGATTCATATCATGTTTGGATTCATTTTCATCGGTTAACTCTGACCAATCCATTGGTACTATTTTCATAAAGATAGGATGAAAATTATAGAAAATGAAATTTTCGTTATTGTAACGCCAGTTGTATACATTTCAATCAAATTTAACCGAGCATGGGTGTATGCGTGTACAATATGTATACCTTCGATGGCTCGCGCGACTGTGTCGATCGGAACGTGCACCACGGTGACACACGTTTATAGGTTAGGTCTGGCGTTGATGTCTCCAACGTGTTGCTCCCTCAATTCTCTTTTTTACGCTTACCTCCCGAAAAATAAACGAACAAATAAATATTGCACAGAGTAAAATTTCAAAAGGGATGAAAAAAAAGTGTAAAATTGCCGTGATACTTTCGCACTGTTTTTATGTCGTCGATTGACCAGCGATTCATTTCGTGTGACCCTGGCGCGAAGAAAGGAATAAAAAGCCAAACCAATAAATCGTCATCCTTCAGGCCGCGTCCCTTACACGCGGCTGAATAATCACTGCGATTGTTTCTTTCTAATCGTCCAGTGGCACATTTCGACCGCGGGACGATCCGTCACGCACGTTACACGCTCATTCTTCATTTTCATATCGCGGTGAAAGCCAGCCGCGATAACGAGTCCTCCTTTCTCTTTGCGGAATGGTCGCACGACCCCGACATGCCCCGCGATGGATTCGAACGCTGGGACGGATAGAGCGTTCTTGAAAAGAAATAATCGTCGTTCAGGCTGAAATTTGTGTCGACCACCCCGATTCGTCACGAACCAACACGGACAGAAAACTCGCGAGCATATCTGGCCTACATGTGTCACGGAATTATGGGGAACGATCTTGGCGAGAAAAAAAGTGAGAGAAACTCGTAATTACAAGAACCAAGCATGATGTACGACGGCGGTTGTCGTGCTTTTAAAAGACGTGCCACGCGAGGACATAGTAGTTTCGCCGGCTAACTTTCGATATATCGAAACCGTGATCTCGAAGTGGCGAACACACTGTTCCAAATTTCACTGTGTTCTTATCGTTTTTTGGGCCGACGAACGTGTTGCATGCATGCCGCCAGATTAATTGCGCCTGCTGAAAAAGAGGGGGTTGGGGGGGGGGTAGGGCTTGGTAGACGAAAAACATCTACACCGATAAACCAACCCCTTGGAACTCGTAAATTTCTTAGATATCCTCTAACCGTCCCTTTTTTCTTTCGTTTCTTGTATAAATGCTTGTTGTTTCTCGTCTCAGAAAGGGGCGAATGCATGCCTGAAGGCAGTCCACTTTAATTGACGTCATTACGTCGATCCCGTAGTCGATATAGCTCGAGTTATCGACTAATTATACGCGGTCGTTCGATCTGATTCCTAAGCGGCTGACTTTCTATCGAGAGTTTCACTTCTTCTCGAGCTCGGCAATTTCTTTAAATTGTTACATTTTACCGCGGAGAACACACCCCCCTGGGCTTGGACCCAGTTATGAGGAAGTACGAAGGC